ACTCCAGACTCGTAAACAGCATGACGTTAAAAAAAAAAAAAAAATCACTCGTAGTTCTTTTGCATTCTTCAACCACCAAAACGTTGAAGTCCTATCCTGATGGTCTGATCCCGATGCCCACTAGACACGCTTTGCGCAAAGAACTAAGGCAGGGGGTGGGGGGACGAACTGGGGAGGGGGGCGAGGAAACCACACGTATGGGGCAGCCAGAAAATGAACCTTGGCCGTTATGGCCACGTCATTTAAAAATATAAATGCATTTCTTCCCTACCCCCGCTGCTCACTTCCTAGAGCGAGCTGGGCAGTCACAGCCTCCACCCCAGAAAGAGCAGAGGCGACCCGGGCGAACGCGGAGCCCCCACTTCCTGCCCTCCCCTCCCGCCCAGGCCGCAGTTTCTCCAGCGCGGGGGCGGGGCCCGGGCAGGCTCCGCCTCGCGCTGGCCCCGCCCATCGTCCGGCAGCCCCGGGGGCGGTGCGGGGAGGAGCGCGGAGGCGGCTGCTGGCACCGGACCCCGCTCCGTCGCGCGGCCCGCTGCTTTAGGTCGCGGGAGCCGCACAGTGCAGTCCGCGGTGAGTACCGACTCGGCCACCCTGTCCTCCGAGGAGTCGGCGCGGGCCTTTTCCGCGGCGCCCGAGGCAGAGTGGCCTGGAGAGGAGGGGGCGAGCCCGGGGGAGGTCGAGGGGAGAATCGGGGACTTTCTCCTGGGACTGACCTCTCCGCCCGGTCCCCAGGCCGTGACGCGCCGGGGATAAGGGTCAGGGACTGGAAATGGCTGTCCTTGCTCCCCTTAGTCTTGGCTGAGCGGGCCGCCCGAGAGTCCTAACGTCGGGGGTGTGCGGGCCGCCCGGGAGTCCTGACCCCGAGGCTGTGCGGGCCGCACGGGGAGCCCTGACCCCGAGGGTGTGTGATCCGCACCGGGGAGTCCTGACCCCGAGGCTGTGCGGGCCGCACGGGGAGCCCTGACCCCGAGGGTGTGTGATCCGCACCGGGGAGTCCTGACCCCGAGGCTGTGCGGGCCGCACGGGGAGCCCTGACCCCGAGGGTGTGTGATCCGCACCGGGGAGTCCTGACCCCGAGGCTGTGCGGGCCGCACGGGGAGCCCTGACCCCGAGGGTGTGTGATCCGCACCGGGGAGTCCTGACCCCGAGGCTGTGCGGGCCGCACGGGGAGCCCTGACCCCGAGGGTGTGTGATCCGCACCGGGGAGTCCTGACCCCGAGGCTGTGCGGGCCGCCCCGCCCGGGGAGTCCTGACCCCGAGGGTGCGTGTCCCGCACCGGGGAGCCATCGCCCCGGCCGGGCCGGCCTGAGAGGGAAATCCTCTCTGAAGTTGTCCAGGCCGATGGGGGAATCCACACCGAGGGGTAAAGGGCAAATGAGATAAGGGGAAAGAGACACCTCCGTGGAAGGATTGGGCACAGAGTCCACCCTGATAGATTCGGAGATCAGGAAGCAGCACGGGCTGCCTTTCCCGATTCCCCAGCACATCAGAATGGCACGTCTTCCTTCCCGGAGCACACACAACTCTCCTCACACCCGGGCAAGCTCCAGGACAGAATTCCCAAACTTTTTTTGGAGTCAGTACCCAAATTAGAATCCTAAGGATCATTTGTTTATGTGCATTGTATCTATCGATGCTTATGTAAACTGAGACATTTTTACTGTTTAATAACTCACTTAAAAATAATAGTGGACCAATTATATCTTACCATTACACAATTTTTATGAAAAATAACTGTATGTTCCAAAACAGAAAGTTATTGAGAAGAGTGGCATTGTTTTAAAACATTTTTGCCAATCTCTTTAATGACAGGCTTAATAGAACAGCTGGATTCTTATATCTGCTTCTGGGATTCAGTCTTTTGCAATATCCCATATCATGTAGCCTCTGGAGAGCCCCACTATAAACTCCTGAAAACGAGAGAGTGAAAAAGCCTAATAAATTCTTAGTGTTATTAAAGTGGCTTTGACCTTGCAGGTCCCTGCGAGTTCTCTGTACCACCCTTTGAGAACCACTGATGTAGGAAATGCTTTGGAAGCTTCACTCCTTGGGCCTCTTTCTTGTTTGTGATCCTTGGTCTGAATGGAACACACACCACCGCATGCCATAATAGACAGTGTTAACCTCTGGTATGTGGGACCAAGTTTGACCTCACTTTGGAAACCGGATGCAAGGTGCCCACATAAGTGATGATGATTCTTGGTGGCCTCCTGAGAACTTGGCAAGGCTCACACATGGCTTTGGTGGTTTGTGTGCCTGCAGAGCTGAGCTGGCACTGCATCAGGATTACAGCAACAATGTGGCAAACACGACCTGTGGGTTCAGAGAAGTGCCTGTGTGAGACTGTGCCAAGTCTGTAGGGATTCGTGTGAGACTTACCAAGTAGTTGAGAAGTTATATTCAAGAGAACAGGAAAGCATGCTTTTGCCTTCCTTTCCATCCACAGTTGGGTAGTTGCTAGCCTTGAGTTTATTGGAACATGATTCCCAGTCTTGGAGCTCTTTCACTTTGCACTTTCAGAAGTGTCACTGTAAGTGGTCCTTCCTCAGCCCCTGCTGGAAAGCAGTGCCTAGCATCCTGGTGTGTGGTGGATGGGATCCTTTACCACGTTCTTTCCTTGGCTTCATGCTCTGTCAGCTAAAGTACCATATGGAAATTAAATACATATATACATCAAAGGAGAAAAATTCTCCAACTGTATCTGGTAGAGAATCTGTCCTGGTGTTTCTCTATCCAAAGAGCCACTGGTGCTCTGATGGACAAGCTTGGCTGCTGCCGCCGATACTGTAGAGATGTTGTGTGCGCATGAGCCTGTGTTGTCACATGGCCCACAGATGAAGAAGGCAGTAGGATCTAAGCTCTGAGCACCTGCTGTGTTCTCTGTAGAAGACTCCACTTTGATGGTGGGGTCTCATTCCTTCATCCCTTCAGTGGATAATTATTGACCACCTATTGGTCATGTGCTCACTTCTGTACTGGACACCAAGAAAGTAATGAGCACAAAAGATGCAGTCTCCGCCTTTCTGGAGCTTACGGTCTAATAGCTTAGGTAACTGCTAGTTCACTGAGGCAGCCCATTGTCAGAGCGTTTACGTGAAATGTGGTCCTGTATGAAGAACAATACCCCCTGTCAGAAGTATACTTCAGAAGTATGTGCTGAGGAAACCAGAGTCCCACACTATGAAGATGATGATGAAAACCAACATTTGTTATCCTTGCCTGGTACAGAGCTTCCTTTGCCTTCTTTCTCCTACTGTTCATTTTACAGAGGAAGTAATCCCTGTGAAGCAGCCAGACTGTACAGGGAAGTTACTTCAGCCTGGTGCCAGTCACTGAGCCAGACTTGGGTAAGGCACTTTCTCTCTCCAGGCCTCAGTGTCTTTGACTTTAAAGTGAGGGGTTAGGCCATTGATAGCAGATGTCCTAAGGAGCCAGTGGTTTACTAGAGTTGATTTATACAAGCACTTATGCACATCTCTTCCCAACTTCATGTTCAGTGGCATCATGTTTTTTAGTTTGAATTAAGCCATGATCAGAATATTTACACCATGGAAATCGGCAAATGCTACATTTGGGCTTTTTCCTCCTGGAGAATAACTTGTTAAACATTATCAGCACAGAACTGCTACTATCAGAGCCAAGGTCCTTTGGGTTGTTTGGTTTTTTTAGCCTGGACAAACACACTGGATAAGGGGTTTGTGATTCAAGTTCTCCAAAATTTTTGGCAGAGAAGAAACAATCTGTTTTCACTATAACCTAGAATATGGGTCAGCAAAGTTTTTGTGTAAAGGGGCAGATAGTAAATATTTTAGACTTTGTGGGCATACAGTCTCTATTGTAAGTACTCAGTCCTTCTGTTGTAGTGTGAAAGCAGACATAGACAATATACAAACAAATGAACATGGCTGGGTTCCAATAAAACTTTATTTATTAAAACAGGTGGTGGGCCATAATTTCCCTGTTCTAGAATATCAGAACAAGAGCCATGTTTCAAGGAGGGAGTTTCATGGAAAAGGAAATTTTTCAGGACTTTATGCATAAGTACCAGGGACTTGAATCTCCAAGACAGATATAGCTAAGAATAGGAACTGCAAAGGACTTCAAGTCAATCACGGAAGAATCCATAGTAGGTCGTTTAAAGGAAGGCCAGGTGTATTAGCCCATTTTTGTGTTGCTTTGAACAGAATACCTGAGACTGGGTAATTTATAAAGAACAGAGATTTATTTGCTTATGATTCTGGGACAGCTGCATCTGGCACGGGCCTCAGGCTGCTTCTACTCATGGTGGAAAACAGTAGGCAGCCGGCGGGTACAAGCAGATCACATGACAAAAGGAAGCAAGAGAGAGAGGGGAGGTGCCAGGGTCTTTTTAAACAACTGGCTCTCTCAGGAACTAATAGAGCAAGAACTCGCTCACTACCCCCACCCCCCAGGAAGAGCATTAATCCATTCAGAAGAGATCTGCCCCCATGACTCAAACAGCTCCCAACACTCCCAAAATTGGGGATCAGATTTCCACATGAATTTTGAAGGGACAGCACATCCCAACTCTGTTACCAGGAATATTCACATTCTGAGGACACAGCCATGGATGGTGAGTGGGGATCTTTATTCCCAAATCCCTTTCTGAAGCTATTTCAGACATTGTGCTGGGATGGTTGGACCTGCAATCTAACCTAGTCTGTGAATTTGGGGTGTTCTTATGTAAAAACTGGTAGTGTCTCTGACAGCTATCCTGATTCCAGGAGTAAGGACAAAGGAAATGTTAAAAAAAGGAAGGAAAATCCTCATTATGCATGTGTATATTACACATTGTGTATGTATACTGTGTGTATGTATACACGTGCATGTGTGCATATTTGTAATTTACATGTGTTCATAAGTCGTGTGCATGTGTGCTTACACATTCCATGTATTCAAAGTAGCCTCATAAATGTTTGGAAGACAAACTATTAACAGCAGCCAGTTTTCGGCAGTTGAAGCAGTGGAAGGAAGGCAGGCAACTGGTGACTTTTTGTAATACCAGATGTCTGCTTGTCCTGTAACATTCATATATTGCTTTTACAACTTCAAAAGAAAACAAAAAACTAAAATCCCAACAACCTATACTTGTAAAAAGAAGACAGGGTTATTTCTCTGGTATGAATGTTGCTACCACCCTCCTCCCCCAATAAAACAAATTACTTTAATTGTCACATCACAGTTCTGAACTAGTATATATAATACCAGTATGTATTAACTCAAAGTACTATTGAGAGAGAGCCCTCTCAAGTTAAAACATTTTATTACACAGTATTAGGGTTTGACTTAGAACTTGCCCAAGGTTGGAAGTACCAGATCAAAGTGTTCTTTAATGGGCTATTATGCAGCCCTTAAACTGGTGTTGTAAAATTCTGTTGTATGGTTTTAAACTAAAAGGCATGTTACACAGGAATGTTTCCCTGTGATCCTACATTTCTGAGGAGAGAAAGCATGCGCATACAAGGGTACTTCAAAAAGTTTGTGGAAAAATAGAATTAAAGGATAATATTAATTTTTCCATGACCTTTTTGAAGTACCCTTGTGTATTT